GTGGAAGAAACTCTTCTCCGTGTGTGATATTCTTTGATGAAATGGATGCACTTTGCGCAAGACGGTCAGAGTTCGACGTAGGCTGGCCTGGTAAAGTTTCAAAAGTGGGTGTGTAAAGTAGTGATATTTAGAGTGGCGGCAGCGCACGGTTGGTCAACCAGTTCTTGACGGAAATGGATGGAATGGAGCATAGGCATCAAGTATTTTTGATGGCAGCAACCAACAGACCAGGTTCGATTGCAGCATAGTTGGGCATGGGTACTACTATCCTCCTTTTAGACATTATTGATCCTGCCATTCTGAGACCTGGGCGAATCGATAAAATCCTGTACATTGGATTACCATCTGAAGAAGGAAGGACCGACATCTTGCGAACGTTGACAAAGGTTGCTTTCGCGTTAACGTCTTCGCTTCAAATAAAGATGCATTTCATTTTAGAACGGCACACGACCTGTTCTTAGTACTGACGTTGACTTGGCTGAATTAGCTAGAGACAGCAGAGCTGCCCTTTTTAGGCAAGGGTCATGGTCTTTTCTATCAAATCTTTTGTTCAATTTCCTTGAACGTACGATTTATAAACGTATAATTCCACTAAGTCAGGTTTTGCTTCGTTATGACACCCTTTTGCTCATGTGTATCTCTAGGATCACCTTGCGCTACCCTGGTTATCTACTGATCTCCATTCTTTTTCATAACCTGCTTTTGTTGGTTTATAGTTCGAGCATTTCAAAGAGTTTCCGATCGGTCTCAATCTTCCGTTAGTTGGGCAAGCACTAAAAACTAGGTACGACATGTAAAGCATTTAATATACACAATCCGCCAAGATTCGGATTTATCTTAGGCTACTCGATATATGAGTTCGCGCATGGTGTCTCGTATATCTGGCCAGTGGCATCTTATTACTTTCCCTCAGTATCTGAATTGTGATTGATTAATGAAGACCATGAATTCAAACTTAACACTAAACGGTTCTCTGATGCACCTATGATAATTTATATCTGTTACAACGATAGAGGCGTATTTTCCTTTCAGATTTCGGATCGATGTTGCATTTTATGTAGAGATTGAAGGAGTTACTCGCTTGAAAGTGTATCAGTGCTATGAACTTTTTCTGTCTTATTTCGATAAACATTTCAGCGGTGCTGATTTACAAGCTCTCATACGAGAAGCCGCCATTTTATCATTAAAAGAACAGCTACAGCAGAATGCAACGTTGCCAAGTGAAGAAGATCAGAGGGATTGCCCTGCGGTTTGTAGACGACACTTTATGGATGCATTCAAAATTGTTAAGGCGTCTGTTTCTGATCAGGTAGATTCACTCTGTATTTTTATTATTCTAAAATCTGTACGCTTAGGAAATGGCGAAATACGAAAAGCTCAGACTCAGGTATGGAGTAAAGCGCCTGCCAGATCATCAGCTGTGTTGACTTTATTTCGCATATTGTAAATGACTAACAAAAATAAACAAATTGTTTGGTGGGAACCGTACTCGTAGACTTATATTACCGATTCGTTAGCATCCGTGATAGGCAAGAAGTAATAATGTTTTTATTCTGTTCCTCTAATTCGTTGTTTATTTTATTACGTGATACACTACACTTATTTTTATTATGTGATGCACTACACTTTATTTTTATTACGTGATA